GTGAATTCATATTGTGTTACAGTGTTGCAGAAGCACGACATGTAGACAAACAGCGGGAGCTCCACATACACAAACACTCAGATATGCACACACACACACACACACACACACACAGCGCTGTTCCCTCCCGCCACTTCTCCCCTGATTACGCCTTTGTGACAATCATAGTGAATGAATGGGGTGAAAATTTGACCATGAAATCCTGTAGAGTGAGTTTGGCCTAAGATCTCATTACCCGTTTTCTTTGACTTAGCCATGCCTCATGTTTTTTATTACCTATTCTTGCTTTGGACTGATCTGTGCACCAACCTCTGCTTTGAGGTAAAGATTTTGATTCTGCTGCTCTGTGTCTTGAGCCTGTTGTTGAGTGCTTTGTTGTTTGTCACTGTTGTGACAGCTAAAAGCTCGCTTCAAGTGCCTACACAGACTCAGAGTAACCTCAAAGCATTTGACATTATTGTTGCATGTGTTGTTCTCCATAACATTGCCAGAATTAGAGGAGAGCAACACCCTGCTGTAAATAAACAACCCTAACCCTTTCTTGATGGAAGAGTCATCCCAGACAGTATTTGCCTAAATCCCTAAAAGAAGACACAGTGACAATCCCATGAAGTAGAATAAAATAAAAATCATTAACATGTAATTTGTTAATTTTTGTTTTTTTAAGAAATATGCATACAAAAATGTGTATTAAATTGTTGTTCCAATAATCTACTAAATGAATATGTGCTGTACCAATTCAAAACTTGATAGCATTCTGCACAACTTCTTGTAAGATTGTTAAAAAAAAAAGATTATAAAAAATTCTGCAGATCTTCCTGCAGAATTAAACTGTTTTATAATTAACGTCCTTTATTACAATTGTGTGCTGTGGAGGATGATGGTAAGACCAAGTCCTGATATTTTAGAAGGGAAAAACAAAGATCATGCTTTTTTATTAATTGCTAACTCTTACCAGAGCTATTCTGTCTTTACTTTACAAAATGGAAGGAGACAGTGTCTCGCTGTCCGTATAAATAAACAGTCAAAGGTTCAAAGCTTTTCCAAAAGGCGAAATGTTCATGTTCTGGATGAAGCTCTGGACTTGTAAGAGGATCCTTGGTAGAACACACAGTTTGTTCAAGATGCAACCCCCTACAGTATCCATGGGTTCTCAATAGAACCTTCTCATTACGTTCTTGATGAGACCCTATGAAAATGAAAGCTCTAGTGGTTGGGGTGCGGGGTTGTGTTCTTTTAGGCATCCCGAGAAGATGAAAGGTGGAGGGATCCCCCAGAAAGGATTTTGGTTTGAACCATTACCCCATGGACAGGTTCTTCATGGGATGCTCTACTGAAGTGGTTCACAACTGGTCTAGCTTAAGGACCCACCACCAACTCTTTAATGAGAAGTTTAAAGTTTAAACTCTTTAAAGATATTTTTAAGCCTATCAGATGTATTTAATGAAAAAATAGTGCAGTTTGGACCTCAGATGGTACTAAACATGTGACAGAACAAAGAGATGGAACAAAACACACATTTTTAACAAGTTCTTCATAGACTTCTGGATACAATTTCTTATCCATGCACATTGGCACATTGACCCACTTTTGGGTCCTGACCGATTAGTTTAGAACGCTGTGTCTATTGGACAGTTTCAGAACATGGCTTTAAGTAAATCTCTATTTGATGTGTACTAGGTAACATCATCTGAAGCAGGGACCTTTACAGAGATTTTTGGAGGAATTCAAAAGGGTTCACCTTTGGGAGTAGGCCTTTATTGTAGTTACAAGTTGAAACAGCCACTGAGAGACATTTACTTTTCTTCATAGATCAAATATGATTAGGACAAAAGGGAGTTACAATTAAGAGGCCAGAGCACAGCATGGATTAAGTGTTTGAACTGTTTTTATATTTCATTTTGGAAAGCTTCCATGCATGGTTGGAGGCCATGGCACTGCACCTAAATTAAAATTTAATTCAATTCAATAAAATCCCATCATTTTAACCTGTGATATTCAAAAGTTTGGTTAAACGTTGAAAGAATAAAATACTGACTTCAAACTTGCTCTTTGACTCGAGCAGCAGTTCTCTCATTCTAATTCTTCGCTGCAGCTGTGTTGATTTTCTTCTGAAAAAAGTGCTCATCTGGCCTTAAGCACATATTAGAACTTATAACTCCAGTGGGGTGAAGGAGGATGACCTGTTTTTTAACTTGCCTGTTGCCATGGTGAACTGTTGTATTGGAGGCTCCATTGATGATGGCTTTTTGTAGTCGTCCAAATGCTCTTAACTTGGAGTGAAAATAGCCTGACTTTTGATTAATTTAGGTCAGCAATTCTGCATGCAAAAATCAGGAATTTCCAATCTGAGGGTTCAGTATTTAAGAGTCATTAGTCTCAGAGTTTGTTAAACCCGCAATCTTGAATCAACACCACTACGTTAGTATTGCCATTATGAGATTTTACCATGTTGATATATGCATTAAGCACAAAATGTTGCTGTATCTAAATGCAGAGATGACAGCATGACTGTGAACTCATGTCGTTTCAGAAGTAATAAACTCTATATTCTTTTTACACAAGTAGAATATGAATACTCAGATATGATTTGCAAAAATACACATCATAAGAACCTTGAAAAATGTTGTAATGGATTAATAAAAATAAAAAAAAGGACTTTCATGGCTAGAACACTTAATGCACAACAATAGTGATGTGTCATGCTCAAAAGATGCGGCTCTGAGAGCCGATGCTTTGTAATGAATCAGAAGAGCCAACTCTCATCGAGTGAGAGCCGGCTCCCAGTTTTTTCCTTTCACTGCTTTGCTCTCACAGTGGGTTAGCCCCAGTTCTGCTCATGGCAGAACTTTGTTTTGATTGGCCAACATGGCCAGTAACCGTGCAGAAAGTAAAGGAATTGGTTGTAGCTCTTTGTTCAACCATGGACCGAAAATTTCTAAACCTGTTTGGAGGCTCTGTCATGAAAGAGCTACAGGAGATGCTGCTAGGAGAAATCCTACAGCTGATGCTGTAATGGAGGTGAGATTCTATCTTGAGGATGGTGGCAGGCCAAGGCCTCAGTCTTCCCACGTCTGGTGAAGGTGATGGAGGGGAGACTGTGTATTGTGGCAAAATCTGTTCCTTCCAAGAGAATCTTCTCAAAAACAGGGCAGATACTTATAGTAAGAAGGAATTGCAACAGCCCATCCAAGCTGAGGCATCTAATTTTTCGCAAGGCCAACCTGCACTGAGGACATTCATATGGTTTGATTAAAGAGTTCTGGTTCTGTTCTGTGGATTTGTTTGCAGTTTTTTGTATTTATTTTGTTTTTGCATTTTTGTATTTGTGCAATTAAAAAGTTTGATTAAAATATTTAACAAGCGTAAGAATGCTTTTGTAACAGAATAAATGCATGCACAAAGGGTTTTCAACACACAAACCATTTATTTTTTAAGTTAAGCTAAAATATGAGGCTACAAAAGATCCTAAATTAAGAGCCATTTGGGAGTCAAAAGAGCCGGCTCTTTTTTGGGAGCTGACCCAAAAGAGCCGGCTCTCTGAAAAGAGCCGAATTTCCCATCACTACACAACAATCCCACAATGTAATGCTGCACTTTGTAACTGAACTCTTTCTAGAGCTCTAAGCAGTACGCTGTGAAGCATGTGTTATATAGACTTAATGACCAAAAATCACACTAACAAAACCATCAATTCTGGGTAACAACTGGCAATAACAATGACAGGAAACCATTGACGTAAATAGGAAATTGTGTTATTGACTATTTCAGTGTAAATAGAAGTGTAAATATGTGGTTAAATACTAGATCTGGGTTTTGTCCACAACCTTACAATTCGATCCGATATTGATCAATATGCTTCAAGTATTCAACAAGTAAGTGAGTAACATTAGCCTAGCCTTGTCTGGCTCTTTATAAAGACCTGTCTTTTGAGCATTAGCTGCTCGAAGCTGAAAATGTGAAATCCACAAGCTTACTACTTTTTAACCTGCACTCCCATTACAATAAAACTGAACACTTGTCTCTTTGTTCCCGTTTGAGTGTTTTCTCTGTGCGGTAAAAGTTCAAATAAAATCAAAAAAGATGTTGAACTTTCTTATACATATTCTTAAAAATATTTTAGAGTTTCAAAATGATGTTTGTCCTACCAATGACTATATTCATCCAATCTATCACACAGCAAACAAGCTGGCTTATAGGCATTAAATGTTTCCAAATCCTGTTGGCTTTCCATCCTGTTTCAAATTCTTCAGAGATTTCCCCTGCATTGTAAAAATGTAAAATCTGCCCATCTGCTTTAATTACAAGGCATAGTATCTCCATGTTTGTCAGGGTTTTTATTTTTAAATCACCTACTCAGTCCAGATATTTTTCAGATGGAACAAAAGAGCTGAGAAGGAACACAAGCACATTCACACACAGAGAAGTAGACAGGCAGAAAGAAATAGAGAAAGATCAGCCATACTTTTGATAACAAAAAAAGCAGACAGAGCAGCAGAATCGCTCGTTAACCGACACATTTCTCTGTGACTCAACAAGTGATGTAATGTGTGCTATAGACTGTCGCTGTGCTGTTATTCCTGGGTAGTTGATTGGGGATTGTCTGGGAGGGGTTAACATACTCCTGCATTACTGGCAGCTGTAAAAGCCAATCAATAGCCACGACAAGTGACCCCCAAGTGACCGTTTTTTTTTACAGGAAAACACGTAAACATGTGAAATAAAACAGCACTCCAGCAGCCGTTTCATGGGAACTTTAAATTGCATGAAGGTGACTCAGGGGTTTTCTGCCCAGCAGTTATGGAAAACAAACATTGTGTTTCTATAGGGAGAAGTGAATTATTTAACAAGATAAATAATTTCTTGAGTTATACTATATACTTTGCGTTATACTTTGAGTTTTCTGTGAAATTGAATCCATTGTAAAGAAATTCAGACTGACCACACTACAACTGAATCTTGTGTTTGAGTAAAGTGTCACTGTTGTGTCAGTGCTGTACCTATGTTGGCCATCTCTGGCACCGTGGCGACGTAGGGTTCACTGGGGAAAACAGGCGGGTTGTCGTTGATGTCCTGGACTCTGATGATGAACTGAGAAGACGGCTCAAGGGCTCGGCCGGTCTGACGGTCTGTAGCCGTGGCGATGAGTCGGTACTGGTCCTTCTCTTCGCGGTCCAGGGACTTGGTGACGTGAATGTTTCCTGTGTTGCTGTCGATGACAAACACTGAGCCCACTCCCTCTCCCTCCAATGTGTACTTAGTGCGTCCGTCTCCCCTGTCCATGTCAGTGTGAAGCTGCAAAATAAAAACATACATTTATTTTTAAAGCCTTTTTATTGTAGAGTGCATAAACGTAGAGCTAGAGAAGTAAAGTGAGAAGATATAACAAGAACCAGACACAACGCAATAAAAGGTAAAAGTAACACCTTAGGCCAGCCTTTCCCAAAAATAAGACTGCCCGCTTTGAAATACAAAATTACTCCGGGGCCCGTTATAAAAAATGACAAACTAATAATTATAGACTACATCTATAACTTTCAGTAAGGATAAAATTATTGGACATGACAACATAATATTATGGCAAAATAGACACAAAAGTTTACTAAACCTTATGTCCATGAATAGTGATGACACACCTTACTAGTCACTTAAAGGGTTGACTCATGGTAAATCATCATTATTGTGATATTTCTTCAATTTTTAAAATTGGTGGAGGGCTTTTCGCGGCCCACCTGCAGTGCCTACACTGCCCACCAGGGGGCGCGGCCCACACAAAGGTATAACATGAGATGAACAACGTCTAACAAAATCCTCTGATGATAACAGACAAATCAATCCATTATCTGAGTGTAAAGAATCATCATGCTAAAAACAAACAGGAAAACAATCACAAAAAGGAACTCGAGTCGAAATCGAATGATTGCTGTTTAGCTTTGTTTTTTTTTAAAACTCTATGTTTTGTGTATGTAATGTTTTTTGGTGGGAAAAAAACTCAAAACAGAAGAAAAAACATGGTCAAAACAAGTCAGGTGTGTTAGGCCTAATGAGAGTTAAGAGTGTCATAAAGGTGGCTCTTTTGACCTGGACTGAATCACCATGGTAACTTGTGATGCACACCTAACCTGCTCTAGCCCTCATGTATCACTATGGACGTTTTTGTCCATTTGGTCAAAAGTTTCCTCTTTATCTGGCCATCATTTTTGCTGTGTTAGTGCATATGGCATGTTTTTGTAAGGAAGTCTCTTGACACATTTTGGAATGCTATTTTTATTTTTTTTTAAACAGATCAATAGAAAACTGTGAAACATTTTTACTTCCCTCTTAAGTCACTAAGGACAAATATGTCCACTTCCAAAAATCTGCTATAGAAATAGAACAGATTAATATTTTTTTCTACTTTTTTCTGCATACATCTCTTAAACAACTCCAGCCCTGCTCAAAACTATCAAATATTGAATAATTATCAGGAATTTCACCCTTTGGAAGTGGACATTTTTGTCCTTAGTGACTTAACAGGGTAGTAAATTAAACTGATGCCTGATGGCTAGAGGAGGTTACTGTATGTTCAGGTTGTGATTTAAGCGTTGTCTTTTGATCAACTCTTTCTGATGTTACGCTCTGTGAACATCATGTGAGGTGATAGGTATGCAAACCTGTTGAACTGCACACAACAAGCCTGGCAGTAAAACAACATTTTTCACATAACATCATCCATTAAAGTCACAGCAGTCTTTATGCTTGGTCCTGATCTCCTGCCATGCCTGTTCAAATCTGCAGGTATAACAGCTACAATGATGATTATAGAATTGATAAGTGCTTACTCAATATTTGTCACAGTTTGGTGAATAAATGTATTTTACTTTGATAATAAATTGTATCATAAAAGTTTAAGAGCTCTACAATGTGGTGAGAATTGAACAAGAGGCCGTTTTAAGGACTACACAATAATTCTCCGCTGCACTCTACTCTGTCTCTATCCTGATTTGCAGAAGGAGATTTGAATTTGCTTCAACAACTTTTAGAATCTACAAAGCAGACCATTACTTTAATCGATCTATTTAAACTTTAGTTTCCTTTTAAAGAGAATATTCCCATCGAGATACAGAATTTATTTGACCACAAACGTCTGGCCAAGACAGCAGCATAAAAAGTTTCACACAGAGCAAACAACAGACTCAGGCTGCAAAAAATGTTCCTTCAATACTTTTCAAACACAGTAATTTAAAACGATACAGAACTTTTAAAAAAAACAAACCGATCATCATCATTTTAACTTAAAGCTGCTTCCAAACACAAAGAAAGAAGATTGATGCTCACAGTTTGACACATACTGAAGTTCCTCAAGTCTCATTAAGACACAACAGTTTGGTTTGTCTCATTTAAATGTGCCAAGAGCAGAGGAGGTGAGAGTGAAGGAGACACTGTTAAGATTGAACAAAAACATAGGAAAAGTTTGGGTACCTGCGTTGCCTATTTAATTATTCTATCTAGACAGAGTGCAGGAGTTCACTCACATTTTTTGATCATTAAAACAAAGACATCTCTAGATTTGGGGTGACTTGGACTTCTATTTTTTTTGCCGCAATATCCAAACAGGAAGCAATATCACTTTTATTACATTAATGGGGTAAGCTACTTGAGCCAAGTTAGTATTACTCTCCATAAAAGGAAGCTTCACTACACAAGAGCAACACCTACAGTATAGGAGAGAAGCAGCATGCTAAGCTACAGCAACACAGCTAAAGTTGCTTACTTCTAAGCTTTTTTCCATTTATTACACATATATTATCAACAATAATTAGTATTATTCTTATCAAATATGTCACAGTTTCAAACACAATAGAACAACCCAAATGCAGGAAAACAAAACCATTTATTGAACCAATGATCAAATGGGCAAAAACAAAAGCTTACTTTGTTTTCCCAGTACAAAACACAAAGTCCATCAAAAGTCCAAGAAGAAATCTAACAGGAGAAACAACCAGAGCCACGAGGACACAACTCAACACAGGACCAAGGGGAAAGTTTGACAGTGAACAGACACAGAAGGTGAAGCAGACAGACATAAACCTGGAGAGAGTGGACACAGGTGTGACAAACGAGACTCAGGTGAAACTGATCAGGGCAATCAAAATGGAGGGAAATGTTACACACTCCGAATCAGTAGGTGGCGATATACACCGTTACACGATCTGCCATTAAATTAGTGAAGAAGAAAAAGAAGAAGAAGAAGAAGAAAAAAATGGAGGGAAGATTGCAGTAACGCAACTTTTTGGATACCAGCTGCCAATAAAACCCAAAGAAGAAGAAGAAGAAAAAAATGGAGAGAAACCAGACAAGAAACACTGGGGACAAGAACTAGAAAGTAAAACAGGCATGCACAGAGGGACTTTTAGAAACACAAGGAAGGAAAAGACAGGACACACTTAACCCAGGAATATTAACCATAAAGAACACAGGAAACAGAGAAACACAAGGATACAAATGACAAAATCAAACAGGAAATCCCATTGAAGCAACAACACCATGGAATGGACCAACTAAACAAAGGTAGGCCTAAACCATGACTAACATGTTTCACCTGTCTGTCTGCTTTTATGTGATTGTTTTGTGCTGCTATCCCTTGTTTGGCCTTTTTTAATCTGTTACTGGGACGTGTGCTATTGAAAGGTGCTGTAAAGAGAAACTTTGCTAACTTATTTTTTCATTTCATTCATTCATTTCAAGCCAATAGGCCAGCTGCTGTAGATGAACCTCACGTCCCATGTGATGGAAGTTGAACTGTTTTAATTGAACTAAATACATTTGGTTTAACATTTACTATACTGAAATATTTCTGACGGACAATTTAAAGATTTGTGAGTAAACAGTCCCGTCCATAAAATGGTGAATAAACCAAAAAGTCTATATTCAAAGTTGCTCAGGAGGTCACCTTTACTTACCACCGTGTGTGTCCAGTGCAGGTCACCAATCTGGTAATAGATAAATGAATATATTTTTTCCTTGGGTTTTCTGTTAAGTGGTGTTATAAAATTACATTTTTCAAATAGAAGGACATGTTTTTTTTTTTTTTTTTTTTTTTTTTTTATATGTTGAAGCGCTTTCCATCTTGTTGAAAGGTGCACTGATGAGTAATCTGTTGTACAATGAGCTCCTACAATTAAGGTCCCTGAAAATATGGTTACCGAATAAAACAACTATCTAGTTTATGTTGACCCTGTCGCTCAGGCAGAGATGAGAGAGTGAGAATTAAAAGAACTTTTAACAAAAAACCGAGCGAGTACGAGGGAATAAAAAAATGTGTTCATGAGACTGAAGGTTACAGCTGCTAAAAGATGTTGGTTTTAGTTTAGAACAGACTGACTTAAGAAGGAGGCTCGGTGTCATTTCTTCTTTGTGTGGATGCAGACTCAAGTATCGTGACAAATGGCAGCTTTATGAAAGTTTTCCCGGAGCAGAAAACCTTGTTACCAAATGAAGTTCAGAACAACTTTTGTGATGATGTTATCTCTAACTGGAGTTTTTTAATTACTGCACAGAAACATGTCCAACTTGCTTACTAGTTCATCCCTCAGATTCTTCCTTTACTCTGCCGTCAGGACGACAAACACACACACAGAGTAAATCAGTGTAACACCTTCAGGCTAACACTCTCTGTGCTGATGCAGGTCTCACTCATTAACACTCATCTATTTGTCTGGCGAGAAATGCAAACATGACAGTGTGAAAAGGATGATTTATGTCGAGGCTGGCCGTGCTCGGTGAATTTTGAAATGAACGGCACCAGGTGTGGAGGATCCATATGGGACCAGGATGAGTACTGATGCATTCAGCTAATTAAGTCACTGGACCAGACGTGCCATGAGGGGTTTGTTCAGGGCAGCAGCACATCAATGTGGACCATGGCCCTGCAGAATGTCCTACATGTATGTTCATGGAGCATTTCTGCTAACACGGCTATCTTATCCATCTGTAAATCTTTTCCATCTCTTCTCTCCATCTGTCCTTTCCTTCTCTCATCTCGTAAATCCATCTGCCTGACTTCCTTGTACCTCTTAAACCAGCTCTTTTTCCACTCTCTCTCTTTTCATCAAGTTACCTCGCTCAAACAGAACGCCCATCTGCTCACATCTCTAACCACCCCCCCCCCCCCTTCCTCTCTCTCTCTCTCTCTCTTCCTTGGTCGACTATCTGTTTTCCTCTCTGGTGCAGCAGACACGTTTTTGGTATTTAATGGCAGAGAGGATATTAGTGTGGGCTCGATAGGTAAAAGGCCAAACACACACACACACAGA